TTAAAAAATCTAACCATTAAATGTAAATAAACGTAAATAATAGCAATTTAGTATATATTATTGCTACTATAAGTGATTATGTAGGCCTATCATAAAAGTATGATTTCAAATTAAAATAATTGTTTCTACATAATTGTCGTTGTTATAAGAATAATTTCTAATATGGTGAAGACTAGTTTCATCTATATCCCCGGAAAAAAAGAGCGATTTTGAAAATAAAATATTTTCGAGTCGGCATTGAATATATTAAACACGTTGTCGTAGTTTAGAGGGAAAAAGTCTTTTAGAGACTATCGTCGTAAAAGAGCGATTAAACTACCATAAAATCATAGAATTAAAATGATAATAGTCGATGCGTGAGTGGTTGGAACATTCGGTGAGACGTATTTGTGAGTTAAGCGGATAATCTTTACTCGCTTGTGGTTGGTTTTGGGGGTTGGGGGGGGGGGTTATATGGGCGGGGGTAGAGAGGGGCTGTGGGAGAAAAGACGTATATGTATAGGAGCAGTCATATGTATTTATGATATCCAGTTCTCTGTATATATCATGAAGCACGTGTACACAAAGATTCACAGAGAAGGAAGATTTCTCCCGCGCTTGCGGTTCCGTTGACCCACTGACACTGAATTATTGGGTCTCTCCAACCTCCGAGAGAGCGTAAGTGAGTCTGTTCATCTGACTGCACCTCTCTCTCTCTATCTCTCTCTCTCTCTCTCTCTCTCTCTCTCTCTCTCTCTCTCTCTCTCTACCCCCTCCCTCCTCACACTCACTCTCTGTCTAAGGAAATTTTCGAAGAACAGGGCCTTTTTTTAATACTTCAGTCGATGAATGCCCCAACGAATGAATAAGTGAGCTAGTAAATGAGTGAGTACGTAGGATTTGTAAGTGTTTGTTGATATGCGCGTCTAGATGAGAGAGTATGAGAAATTTGTAAGCATTCCAGAGGTAATATAATGGAAAACTATACAACTATCTGATCACATACAACTTTGAGTAATTTTCTCTTTTATTATATGATTTAATGATGATATTATAAGATTTTCAATCTATCATTTATGTATATATCATTCAAATTTCCTTGTAGTGTTTATTAAATATATAAAATTTTGGTATATTTTACATATATAATTATATTCTCCAGTAATTGTCGAATTACTAATAAGAACTTTTAACTCAAACTATCGATGAATATATTTAACAATTTAAAGTAGATTTTCACATAAAAAAAAAATGCCTTTAAACATTAAAGAAATTCTGTAAAATTTGAAACATTTATTACAATAAGGATGTGTGAATAGTGGTATGAACGTTTATGTTAAATAAAGTTTTACTTTAACGTTCTATTATTGTAAAACATTTTTTAAAAGTTTTAAACGAATGAGACTCATATAACCATTTTAGTATGTCATGTTCAATTTAAAATTTTTAATTTAATCGATTCAAACTTATTGTATTTATAGTTATTTATAAAATATTATTATTATGTATTTTATAAACTATATAACCACTACATATCAACTATAAGATGGGATAATAACCTCTTAAACGTTTGTAAATTTCTTTTTAAATAAATACTTTTCCATTTGCATATTTAAGTTTTTCATTTCATATCGAATTTTCTTTCCTAATTGTTAATTATTTTGTTTCACAACAATATCATAGAAATTCAATGATGGGAAATTTTGATAAATTTGCGCGAAAAGTGAAAGTTTATTTGTTTTTTAATATGATAGAAAAACTGAGCTACTCACTTAAAAACTGATTCTTTCTTCCTTATTAAAAATATATAAAATATTATTTTTCATAATAAATTTTCATTTATTTTCAGCAACTAAATTTGTTTAAATAAACATTGTTTTGTATTACAAAATGTGCTGGCGATAAATACTTACATTACAAATTTTCTCTTTTCTCTTTTACATATTCATTCAATCGAACTGGTGTTAAATTTTTTATTTTCATATTTTAATTATTAATTTAAATAAATTTCAATAAATTCTATTTTGTCATTGAATATATTTAGAATGTTTTTGTATGTAAACGTAATGTTTTTTATTTTTTAATTCAAATTCAAATTATATCAGACTAAATTTCTCACAAGGAATTTATTTGAAATTAATTGATGTCGATATCTACAGTGTTTTATTATATGTTAAAATATTTGAATTAAATCATAATATCATAATTAACAATAACTTTTTAATATTTATATAGATCAATGGCGTTTTAAATAAATAGGTATTATAGAATTACGTTTAATCGTGACAAATGATTATACAAATTCTCTATTTACTGTTTGTATTTATCTTTATGGAATAATCATCTTAAAATTTGTAATAATGAATTTTATCTGTAAGCTATGAAAATTATTTTATCCAGTACAACTATTATGTTTTCTGGAGTGTAAAAATCTTTGTTACAATAATTTGTCATATACACAGAAATAAAACTCATGACTTATTTTTGTTAATCCCCTACATTGTGGATTATTTGAATGAAGTAGAAATGTTATAAAATATAAATGATTTATATAAAAGATATATATATATATATATATATATATATATATATAGATCGATAGATAGATAAAGCGGTTGAGTATGTAGTGATAGCAATAATCAGAAAGGATGGACAAACATGAGTGGTAAAGAAAATTTTAGCGTGAGAAGATATGTAAACTTGAGCACAAGCTTTTCCTATTAAAAACAATGTACGAATTCATGCATATAAACATAATCGAGGCGAGTTTATAAAATATCGTATACACAATTCTTTTTGATTTCACGTGTACGTTTACAAGTATTGTGAGACGATAATGATCTGAAGAATGCGATTATTATGCGATGAGTGAAAAAAAAACATTATTCTCGCGTGAGTGAAGTCGTGTTATTTATGATGAGTGGGAAAGGTGGATTGTCCCAACTAGAGAGTGTAAACATTTGGTGTTTAAGGATAAATATCTTCTAAAAAATATAAATATAATAATATAATATAATAAATATAATATAAATATAATATAATAAATATATTCTAAAATTTCAAATCAAATTCTCTCAATTTTTGAAATTCTTTCTCTTTTGGAATTATTTATTTAAAAACTTTTTTTTTTTATTAATTTCTAGCAACATTTGTTAAAGCATGATTTTTCTATTAGATAATATCAATCGTAATAAATTCAAAATTATCAGATAATCATTAACTCTTAATAATGTCAGTATATATATATATATATATATATATATATATATTTGATTAATTTATCTAAAGAATTTTAGATATAGTAATTTGTAAATGTACCATAATTTAATAACTAATAAAATCTTTTTTTTTAAATCACTGTGAAATTAATTCATTTTGTTATCTAATGAGAAAATCCTGCTTTTTATTATCCATTAGAAAGGGAAAAAGGAAGGGAAAAGTTTAAACACTGAATGAATGAAATATTTTCCATAAAATTCAATTGACATTAAGCCGACGGATTTAAGCATTAAATACCTTTACGTAAAGGCATTTTCCAGTATGTTATCTTTCATTTATCGTAGTTAGGAGGATTAGTAAGAGAAAACTCATTAATCATGCAGGAGCGCTTCTCAATAATAATTGAAGAACAATTGGGAGTCGCGTGCTGTGACAATGTATAATTCGTGCTTAAAGTCAAGATGCAGAGAAACCGGGGACCATTCATGGCCAGCTGAATTTAAGAAAATAATCGCAATCGTGGAGGTAGCGGAACGAAAAAATACTTAACAGAAAAAAAAAAGAAAAGAAAAAAGAAAAAGAATGAGAGTGTAAAGGAGAGCGGGCGTTGAAAAGAGAAAAGAAAAAAGGAGAAGACGGTCGCGAGACGCGTTGGAAAGAAATCGGAGGCGCTTGAGGCTATCGAAGACCCTGGACTTGGCACTAGTAGCTCGCGCTCGTTCGTTTCTCCCTCTCTCCTTTTCTCTTTCGCTTCCTTCTGAGGCTCGTGTATTTATATACCAAGTGCGATTGTACCTGGAGGTTGCCTCGATATATTTCTGTGGTCCTTCGCGAAAGTCGAGAGTCATTATAATAGGCGATCCTCTTTCGCTTTCCTCGTTTATTGTATCACTTTCAAGATTGATGCTTAATTGACTGTTTCTTAAAATCACGCTAGTACACGTCAACGTGCAATTAAATTCCCAGCATAGCGTATTACCCGTAGAGATTTTTATTTGATAATATTTTATTCGTGAAATACAATGTTCATTTATGAACATTTTTCGTCGATATTTCGATAATTTTTATCAAATAGTTTAATCTGTTAAACTGCTGTTAAATTTCTTTAGTATGTTAAAATTTACACAATTGAAAATGAATATTTAGATTAATAATGAACAATCCGATGATTTCAGAAGTAACTGATTGATAAATATACTTTCATTTTATTTACAATCAATACCACAAAATAAATCTGATGTAATGTTGATGAAATAAAAAAAAAAAAAATATATATATATATATATATATATATATATTTTTTTTTTTTTATTTCATCAACATTACATCAGATTTATATTCATATATAACGATTAATTAGACTAAAATATTTATTCAATTATTACATATTCAAATTCGTGACATATTAGCATGATACTTATTTAATATATATATAGACTAATCGATATTGATTTTTTTTTTTTTTGCATATTATATTCATTATCAGCTATCAAATTATAATATTAATATTATTTATTTTAAAGAAATAGCAGAAAAAGTAATGTACTTATAAATTATAGCCTTCATCTAATATTTAATATTAATTTATTTTTTATCCTTGTTTGTACAATAAAAATACAGATAAATCATATAATTTGATTATTATAATGATATTAAAGCATAATATTTTAGCAATTAATAACAAAAATTTTTTCGTTTCATACTAGACTAATATTTCTAATTGTTATTCAAATGTTTGGATTAATAAATTACTGATAATTATTATTCAAATAATTAATTATATCTTTAATTTTTTTTTTCAGAACCAGCTTGGTACTGCTGTCCCTGGTTTTTACGGTATCCACACTTTCTCCAGTGAGTCGACAATTTGACATTTCCGGTAAGTTTTACAAGAATTTATGTTAATTAATTAATAATGAATCACTTAAATTAATATAGATATTAAGAATTCAATTAAAAAAAAATTAATAATTAGACTTTGCATTAATAATTTTTATTAAATATTGCTTATAAAATATGGAATTCATGTTCTTATTAAATTTTATAATTTATATATATTTATAAATATTTAAATTTGTTCTTTATTAATATTTTTATTTTATAAATGCAAATATTTGTATTAAAAATTTTAATTTACTGTAATCTTTTTCATTTGTAATATTATACATTATGAAAGTTTAAAGACTATGCTAAAAATAAAATTGTTGCAAGTTTTTTTTTTATTGTTTAATTAAATGAGGGAAAAGTGATTGAAAATGAAATTAGGAATCATGTTGCATGGTAATTACTGGTACAACTTAGTCGTACAATACATATTTAATCACTAAATCCTTTTGTTTTTAATCTATTATTAAAAAAATAAACATTATTAAAACAAATTTTACTTCTTACACGTAAACAATCACAAACGAAAGCAAATTCATCTCAGAATTTTATCTATAATTTAATGTACATAACTTATACTCGAAATAAAATTGTCTCCTAAAAATGTATTATTGCTATACTAATTAATTATTAACAGTAATCGTTATTCATCTTTAAATAATCTTTAAAAAATAAAATAACAACTTTCATTAAATCATGAAATATTTTTCAACAATATTGAAATAAATATGAAAAGTATTCCATTTAATATTGTATTTACTAAGAAATATAGAATGTAGTGGAAAAAAAAATTTATTAATTAGAAAATATTCAAAGTAAATAAAGAATCGAAAGAACTTCGTTAAATGATTCATCTTATAGTATTTAATAGAGCAAATACATTTCATAAAAGGAATATATATGTCAGAATTATAAATTCTAAGTAATAAATGAAAGTAAAGTTTTTTTACATTGATTTTATTAAATAATATAGGCTGTGCACATACTCGAACTAAATTAATCTTATTCATGCATTAATGTATAAATGTGGTTCATGGATATATAATATTTTGATATGTGTTTGATGTTATTCCAAATCTCTTTCAGTTAATATGATATTCTGTTTTAAATAATGCAATTTGTATTTTATTAGATTATTTAACAAATCTAATATATTTTAGTAATTTTATTTTACATCAAAGAAATTTATATTATAATAAATAGTGAAATACTTAAACATAAATTATTAAATTTTACTTGGATATCAAATCTATAAAATCTGAGAATATATATATATATATATATATATATATATATATATATAGAGAGAGAGAGAGAGAGAATATTAGTTTTGGATACTTTTTTTGCCCAGAAAAAAATATATAGTCAATAGTATAAAAAGAAAAATATTCATTACAATATTGTTTTAATATTTAATAAAACATTATTCCATATACATAACTATTATTATGTATATTATTTAATTATAATAATAAATATTGCAGTTGAAAAATTAAATTTATCTAAAAATTTTATTAAAAATTTATCCTTTAGTAGTACATACAAAAGTTTCGCACACTTATGTTTTTATATCATACTAAACTAGAATAAAAAATACGAAATAATATCGTTATTACATGATCTATTGATTATCATCAATTTATGATATAATTGTGACTACACTGTTTCGAACAAATGTGGATTGCGTTTGTTCGATGGGTACTTATTAAAACTTAAGCGCAATAAATTTTCTTGTGAAAATACAATAAAAGTACATAAAAATAAAAATATCAATAAAAATACAAAAAATAATTATTAATTTCAATGAATTCTTAACTATTTCAGAGTATGTTTATGGAGTTGATCATGATTTGCAAGCCAGAGCACGCGCAGCTGTTGAAGCAGAGAGTTTTAAGTTTCGTCGGAACAGTTGGTAAGTTTCCTTCAATGAAATTAAAACCGAGTCTTTTACGTTCTAATAATCACTGTTTATATGAATACTTCAAGTTTTTGTTTTTAAAATGATTTAAATTCTTTAAACGTGCATTTAAAAATTTGTTACTTTAAATATAAATAAAAATTTTAACAATATATTCACTTTTGTTATGGATTAATCATTGATTTTCTTATTACGTAAGGTTTTATCAATGGTGGATAACACACATTGATCTATGGAAAATATCAATTTAAAATAATAAATTTAATAAAGTATGAATAAAGTTTATACGTGGTTACGCCATAGCAGAACATTTTAATGTGATTGAGAATAATGTATACGTAAAACGAAATATTTCAACGAGAAATATGAATAAAATGTACTTACAAGTTCAATATTCCGATATAACGTATTGATAATTTCAATTCTCGAATATACATATGTTTTTATGCAACTGCAATTATAAATCTGTTACTTTTTCCAATTGTTTAGGCAAAGTAAATAAAATTTTTTTTTTTAATTTTCCAATTTTATTCTTACATGCTATTATTACAACAGTATTTATTTTGATATAAATTTATTTTATATTGTTTTAATAATACTTGTTATCTATCTTGATAATCCATACATTATATATTTATAATTTATATATATTAATATATATATATATATATATATATTTATTCATTTATTTAGGCTATATCATTCCCTATTTCGATATTGTATGTAATCAATTGATTTAACTTGCAGAGATTATTTAAAATAAAAATAGTTTTGTTAACTGTATATGTAAATTAAACAAAACTGTTTTCATATTTGCTTGTCTTGAATAAAACATTATATTAGATTTTCTTATAGTATTTGTAAACAGACATCGGAATTGAAAAAATAATGTTCATTTTCTAAAATAATCCTTAAATTAAGTATGGATAATGCTTTCTTCGAATATTAATTGGAAACAAAAAAAAAAAAAAAAGATTTAGTATAGCAACTAATTACCTGTTTATTTTTTATTTGACTACATTTATATAGTTTTCAAACATTTTATGATAAGACAATACGATCGAAAATTGTTAAATGATAATTTTTCAATAATTATCTTTCTATGCAAATAAATTCGAAACCTTATCAATTATATTTTAAAATTAATCAAAATGTATTCTCACTTTTATTGTGTAAATACGCATTTTATTGTAAAGAAATATTAATTACCTTCCAGGTATTTAATAGTATATATTGCCCATATATTGTTGCCTTTTCAATATATTTCAATATTGGAAATGACGAAATGTTTGGATAGGTTAAGCTAGTTCCTTAGATATAACGAATTTTTATAAATCCTAACGCACGAATTAATTTAAAATGAATAGAAATCGTTCGAAATAAAATATACGTTATTTTCTTAGAATCTTATTCTTCATTAATATCTATTATATTCAGGTACAACATTGTGTTCTATCGTTAATATTAAATTTCATCTGCCATACTTTCGCATTATATTAAACTTAAAATTAAATAATAAAAAAAGCAAAAAAATTGATTTTTTAAAATTTAATGATTTTAATACACTGAGTTCGGCTATTAGGGACTTCAATTACAATATATATTATGTTAATCGAGTAAAATGATAGAATGATAGAATTTTTGTTATGAATTAGATGTCTGTATATGAAAATGGAGAGAGAAAAAAGACGAAAGTATATTTAATAAAAAGTAGAAAGAGATAGGAACTTTTACTCTATTAAGTTTCTACCAGCCTTGATGTAACCGGTTATATGCAGTAATATAAAAAAAAGTCACAACTCACTGATACTATCACCATTATTATTATTATTATTTTTTTTTTTAACTAAAAATTGAACTTGATAGAAAGAAAGCTATTACAGAAATGAAAGACTGCGACCATACTTGTTCCAGCAAGACTCGTTTGAATTATTAATAAAGTAATATTGGTGAAAACAAGAGTAGTATATTTATAGTTTTTAATTACATCATAATGTAGAAAGTAATTCTTGCGCATTGTAAAGATATTTTAATAAATATTTTATGAAAGTTAAAATACGAAGAATCAAAGTAGATTTTCTCTTTTTAATAAATTAAAAAATTTACATTATATAAAGATGAATAATATTGTAGTAGGAATAGTGCTTTATGGAGTTAATGAAAATATTATGAGCATTTTTCTCTTATCGCTTTAAATGCTAATCTATACGATTAGGTATTTCAAGCCAATTCTAAATCTTTTATAATTTAATGACATAAGTAATTATTAATTATCAACAACAACAAAAAATCTAATTCAACTTACCAGAGAGAGAGAGAGAGAGAGAGAGAGAGAGAGAGAGAGAGGGAGAGAGAGGGAGAGAGAGAGAGAGAGAGAGAGAGTGGATTTATTATTATAAATACTTTTGGAATAAAAGCTACAATTTAAATTTGTAGATAAATTATTTTTTTCATAATTACACATATTTTTCGACTCTTTGTTTCATAAAAAATATCTTGTTTGACGAACCAGAATTCATTTATAAAAAGTATAATTGATATAATTTAATTTAATTCAATATAATTTTTTTTTTTTTTTTTTTTCATTAAATCACATTCATTGAACGTTCAAGTAATGCTCAAGATGCTAATTATTTGTCCATAAACTAGTAAAAATTCGTAATTTATAAAAAAGTTTTATAAAATACTACAAATTTATCTCAATTCTTCTTTTAATATAAATAATCAACTAAAATTGATCGATTTTAAATTTCTATTCTTTTTAACGCGTATCATTAAATTTTTCACTCCATATGAGGACGTTATATAAAATTTATTTATATAAATATATAATAATATATATCGTTTCAACATGATTTTAAAGTTATTAAAATGTTCTGTAATATGCTATTTTAAAAAAATAATTAAGCTTGTAAAATTAGAACACTGAATTACGCCAATGTTTGAATAAATCAGTATTGTCATTAAGTTTGATCAAAGTCTTTTAATAATTTTATAATTTGTTATTTATTTTTGAAATTATTGCTTTTATTTTCATTTTTCTATATCGATACTTTAGATGGAATAGATTTATAGATATTTATAGGCGACAAACATCGACGATTGAATTCATTAAATTAGTCAAACAACACCGTATCTAATCACATCTTCGTAATACTCGTATCCTACAAGGATATTATTATTCATATTTAAGCGTAAAAATGATCGCTAACACAATTGTTACAGCACAATTCATTTAATCATTAGTTTTAGCGAAATTTTCATCTGACATCTTCCGCATGTACAGCATGCAACAAACATAAAAATGAATATCATAATAATAATACAATAATCCTTATAATAATTTATAAATTTTTAGCTTAAGCACAATTATAATTTAAATACTTTAAATAGTTTATTGCTACTTAAATGGCTTCTAAACAATGATAAAGCGATTGAAATTTTAATTGTATAAGGATTACCAATGCAAGAATCCAGAAATTTGAAAATAAATATCTTTTTACATTGAAAGCAATTACTTAATAATATTTTTGTCTGAAATTGATAATCATATCGATATCTTAAAAATGACTATGAAATCATAATTACTTAAATGCTGCAATTCAGCAATTTTTTAGTTTTTCGGATATTTAGTTTTAAAGAAGTCTTTCGTTCGAGAAACATTGTCGCTTCTAACTACAAGTGTAATTACGAAATTTTGTATTCTGAGATTGTGCATCGTTTATTTGTCCCCGTTCGAAATAAATGTACTATAATAGAGGTTATAGTAAGTGAGTTATGGACTTTATGAGGTAAACACGATAGAAGGCTTGAAAGATTTATACGGCTGCTGAGCAAAGCATGGCAGGCAGGGAGCCGAGAATTGCGCGACCATGAAAGTAAAAGTCGAGTTCTTCGGTTGCGGTTAACCCGGTGATAGGTGCAAAGTCCAACTGTTGCTAGACATTGCAGAGTATGCATTTTATATCTAAGAAAGAGAGTCAAAGACTAAAGTGGAGTGTTAGTCCAATCGATCTGTATATAGGCGCGTGAGTGTTTTACGTTGGCCAGTTATACGATAATGGCAGATGCAAATTTATTTTTATTCTTCATATTTATAGACTGGGATGACGGAACTGGCGGTCAACCACGCACAACGCTAACCACAAATTTGAATAGAAATTATCAGAGAACTGCACAGTGCTATATCTTGTTATAAAGTTATTGCATTTCATTAATAGAGAGCCGTAAACACATTGACTGTGAAAATTTAGGCTATGGCGGACGAACCTGATGCGTTGATATTATCTTTTTATGACTCTTTATATCATGTTTACAATTTTATCTTATATATACTTAGATTACATATATATATCTTATGTTCCATATGTATCTTTCTTTTTTTTTCTATTTTTTTTCCTTTTTTTTTTTTTTTTTTGTCTTTTCTTTTTTAGAAAAATTAGTATTTTTAATTATAAATCTTGTGAAATAGTTTTACGATATTTCCTACATGGTTAGTTTATTTAAGATTAAACTTTTGTGAAACATAAATTTTAGAACTAATGTTTTGTATTTATATGCGCAAGGGAAAATTTAATATGATGAAATTGTAGTAAATTGAATTTGGAAATTAAAATTTTATACTTTATTCGTACAGTTCAAAAGCCACTCGTATGGTAATTCCAACAATAAAGTTAAATTTCACATTTTATTTAGATATTATCGTAACAATCGTTCGGAATTATTGAATTATTACAAAGTATTCGTGTAATGGCTGTATATTACAAAATATGTCAACACGTGTGTTTGAAAAAGAAAAGAAAACTCAATTTTATACTATATTGTATTTCAGGTATAAATTATAATTTGAATTCTAATATAATTATAATTTATATTACATGTAAAACTTTATGAATTAATTTAAAAATCAAATACCTGCTCTACTGTATTCGATAAAAGAAATTCAACAAAAGAATAACAGAAATTCTATGTAACACATTTACTTAATGCTCGAGTATTCGTGAATATTAAATATTTTTGTACATCAGACTTTCCTTTAAATCAATATAAACGAGATTTCACATAAATGAAACAATGTTTAATAAATACGAAACATTTCTGATCTTATTAATATTTAAAAGTATTTTAATAATGATTTGGAATATCACGTTGAGTGAAATGCCATAAAACTACAAAAATTTAATTCAATTTAAACATTATTTTCATATAAACCAGATATGTAAAGAAATTATTTTATATGATGTAAACGAATGATTATGGATTGATTGTCGCTTGCAAGCATCAAAGGTATATTTGAAATAAATAAATTCATAGAATCTAGGATGTAAATTATGAGAGATTATTGAAAGAAAATGAAGGGGGAATTTATTTCTACAAAGGAATTGAAATAAGACTTTTAATACCAATGAGTAAATTAAATTGGAAAATTTCATTAAAGTTTGCAGCATTGGAGCGTTCGTAATTTTTCCAAGTTCATATAATATAAGCATAAAGTATATAATTTATATTGAGATTTGAAAATGAAAATAAATGTTTTTTACATGTATTTCCTTTATTTATAATAGAAAATAAATAAATATTGATACACATACTTTTTTTTTTTTTTGTTAATAAATCATGTATTATTTGAAATCAAATAACAATTTTATTCCTCATTGTCTAATACAATTATGTACGTAAAGATAATCTCAAAGAGCCACAAGATATAAAATTAATTGAAACGTTAAATTTACTTCTTTTTTGTTTTTAATTAGTGATTTATTCAATTATTTTTCAATATTAAAAACTAAATTAAATATTAATACTTATGTAAAGTTTTCAAATACATTATTCATCATGAAATGCAATTACAAATGTTATGTTCAAGAATAAATATAATTGATACTAAGGAAGGATCAGAGCATAATATTAAAAGTTTATTTAATACTTATATTATATCCAATAAGTAAAATCTAGTGAATAAAATCTAGCGAGTAACACGTAAATGTTATTCAACAGAGTTATTAAATTTTTATGTTTATTAACGAAAAACAAAAAAAAAAATATATATATAATTAATATAAAAAATATGAGAGCAAATATGCTTCTAAACATCATACATCCTAAGAATAGCATTACCAATATAAATAAATAAATATTGTTTATATATTGCGCGGGCTAATGTTGTTCGATAAGATTTTAATTAAGATTAAAAATACCGTTATACATAGAAATTTATTTTCGAAAATAACGTACAAAGCTCTATACATTGACAATTTTTAGACGGCATCAGTATTATTGGGAGAATTGGAAAAATAGGTAAATGTAACAGGGAATTACATTTAAGAAAAGGATAATAAAATAACGTGGACTTGGATTTACTAGATGTATCCATCGGTATGAATAGCCACGTTCCTTTAAAAGCACAGACTGAAAAAGTATCCTTAATTAAAATTAATTTTAATTTTACAAAAGTCAAAGGATACGGTGTATAAAAAGCGCGTATGAATTGTAGTTGTTGTTTGGTTGAGGTTGTTGTTAAATTAAGAATGATTAAGTAGAATCTTTGGTCTTACTCTCTACTTTTTTCCAAAAAAAAAAAAAAAAAAAAAAAAAAAAAAATAAAAGACGTAAAGAGCGAAAGGAGTTGTGTGCCTTATCGAGAGGCTGTGAAGACTCCGGAAGTGAAAGAGGAGCCGGAGTCCTAACGTCGACGCGCGTCATCGCATTCTGGTTTCCTACTCCGGAACGGTGACCCGTGATTCCGTGGCTTCTTTCGATCGTCGACTATCATGAGTTTTCTCTTTTCAGGCCGCAACGAGCGAAACAGGAGCCCTGCCAGGCAAGACAAGAGCGGCCTTGTCCACCGAGCAAGTACAGAACTCCTTCCGGGGCTTGCAACAACGTGAGGCATCCGGCTTGGGGCGCGAGAGGCTCGCCCTATCTTAGGATCTTGCCGCCGGCATATGTCGATGGTAAGCTTTTGCGTAACATTTCGTCCTTATCGTCTTTATTTTATAAGAGCAAATGCTTTAGCTACGACAATCTGTTTTTTGATCTTTATTCGTACGAGTGCGCGTACTATATCTTCTTGCTTGAGGGCTTAAGGGCGATGCAGTGTTGCATATTGATTGGGGGGAGGGGGGGGGGGTTGCTCTGCTATTAAATTACACACAAAAATGTTCGAATTCTGATAATGAAGAATATTAGCTGAAAATGTACTTCAACTTCCCCACGGCCTTATAGTATTTATATTTCAGATCCCGAATTTTAATGATATGACGTATCGCTTGTTATTTAAAAAATTTTTTAAATTATGATGTCCTAAGTCACGTTCCATCGACTTGACAATCGTATCGATACACGGGATAAAATAATAATTCATTAATATATCGTGATGTAGGTGTAAAAGTTGAAAATATCGAATGAAGTAGTTAGTTGCATAAGATTAACTTTGGAAATTTTTCAAACTACTAATTATCTATAATAATTTATTTTTCAGTTTATACTCTTCGCAATTCAAGCGATCACTTATAATTTATATAGAAAGTTATTTTCTAATTAAAGACTAATTTATTAATAATATAAGTATATTTATTAATATGGCGGATAGATTGACAAAGAAAATCTAGAGGTGCGTTAGCAATTCATGCTCAAAATAGCGATAATAATTGAATTTATTTTCGACTTTTAATGCAAATAGACTCGTTAGTATATAATTAAAATATTTTCTAGAATTAACAAAACTTGTGATTTTAATAATCTGCAGTTAATAAATTGATCATAATTATAATAAAAATTGTACGACTTTAATATGTTAGAATATTTTTAATAGAATAAATGATGTCGTAGTGAGAAATTCTTTTATCATCGAAATTCAATATTTATTTAAATATGTAAGGATTTTTTAAAGTAAATAATTAGAAACACATAGAGACTTACATACCGATAATATCATATTTAAAAATTGTAATAATTCTTTGACCAAATATCATATCAAACTATAATTTTCGATCGATACAATTTTATTTTTCTTTATTGGCTGTTTTGTAATGCCAATAATAAACGTCAACGTTATACTTATAAATAGCAATTGTTGCTTATGCTGCAGAACTTTCGACTTACTACGCTACCATAAAGGAAAATCATAAGATGTGGCGTTGCGTGATTAGACCATTTTCAAATCATATACGTATCATTATCAATTATTTTATAAACACACGAGAGCGTCATAATGCAACCACGTACTGCAAAAAGATACCGACAGTTTATTTATTAGTGTTTATGCTTTTAGTAGAAATTAGGTTCGATATAAATATGGCATATATATGTGTAATTCATAAGAGTGACCAAGTATATCATTCTTACATAGTGAAAAGCGCAATATTTTATATTTTCTAATTAAGCAATATAAATTTTTATAAACATACGTGAATGTGAACTTGTTTTTACAAAAAAAAAAAAAAAAAAAAAATAACCTAAGCTTTAACATGTTTCAACAAATAAATAAAATTAATTATTTATTTCCTAATTTTTGTGATTTATAATTTTATAATTTTGAATCTAATTTACGAATATCTTAAAGGCTAAGTAGTAGAGTATAGATATTTTAAGTTTTAAAGAGTCGTTGGTGCGTGTGTTTTTACAGTTTTCAATAAATATTACAAATTACTGGATTCATATTATTATTATCGTTCGCTATGTTTTCATTAAACATTTCTATACAATAATAATATTAATGTTTCTTAAATAGAAAACACACTGCAATAGTATTTACTTGTTTCTATTTCTATTTACTTTTTTTTTTTTTTTTTTTTTTTTTTTTTTTTTTTTTTTTGCAAGTAGGACTTTATATGAATTATATGAAAATTATTAGTTATAAGTAGATTCTTGAGTCGCGCAGTTTGTTTTATTGCATAGAAATTGGAACGAAAAAATCGGCGATAAAATCTTCTTAATTTTGTATAATAATAATTTAGATATAAACTAAATTGTAATTGTACTTTCATTTTAACATAAGCGTTATTGAATTAATTTTTCTTTAGACATGTCTTTGGTATTCCAAGCTATGCGAGTTATTTTAGATGTAGACAGATATCTTGTACTTATTTCCATAAAAGAAGCATTTTATATTAAAAATTCGATGCATTTCATCATGAAAATTGTAATAAATAGGCGATTAAAAATGAAATGTTAATCATGAATTTATTGTAAAATAGTGTATTGTAAAATGTACGATAATGAAAATCCCAAGGAGGATTGGAGTGATTTAGCAATGGTTATGTTAGTAAAAATTTCTCCACGAGAGCTCCTCGGAATATTTATCTTATTCACTTAATCCCGATGGAACAATAAGGTCAAAATGATTTCCTCGCTACTGAAGCGTCGAGGTGCCCACTTGTAATATGGCCATACGAACCTATAACTAAGCAGCGATCAATTAGAGCACGTGATTTGTATGCTACGTATGAAATAACATGCACGTACGCTGGTCGGCGTTGCATCGACCAAGAAATAAAATACGCGAGCATGTCCCTGTGTGCCGTCACGTGCGCTCGAATGGAAAGTGAAAATCAGAACGCGCACGATTAGAAAAGGCGCGGAGGTGTAGAAGCCAGCATTTATGCCCCCTTGGCTCCTCCTAAGTTACAGCCGTTGGCGCAACACGGCACTGCTGCAAATTTGTGTACGTATTCCAGTTGCATGATTAATAAAATAATTGGCCGTGTATTTAATGCCGAAAATTGACTTTGGATGAGAGTCTCTCGATGCTCGATTATGTTGGTTTTGCCGAAAACTGGGAGGAGCTGGATATTGCGAAGATCATCTCCGCGTGGTTTATTTTTCTCTTGAACAAACTGTTTCATAATTTATCGAATACGATCGCTTTTCTGCATGCATATTTCAATTAATAGAAACTAGTTTAATCGTTTGGTTAGTCAAGTCGATTTCTTACTAACGAACAAATTAAAAATGTTATATTCGTGTTATATATATAAATGAATTTTAAGATTTGCTTTGAAAATATAGAAAGAAGAGATTTCGTTTAATACTGACGAAATGACCGAGATTAATATTAAAATTAAAGTTATTATTCAAAGTTCGTCTAATACATTTTAAAGGTTATATATATATATATATATATATAGTTTTATGCAACGTTTTTCTTGTAGAATTGTATCAAGATTTATATTCTTTCAAGATATCAATTAAAATTACTAAAAATATTATTGACAAAAAGATTATCGCTCGAATCATTTAACAAATCTCTTAAAATATGTAAAGTAAAGAATAAATTTAATTTTTAATTTTAGGGTTTTGCGTTTATTTTATAAAATTATTATTGCATCTATAATGATGCATGTTTCAGTCCTTATATATAATATTAAGAAAATATGTAATTAAATATTTCTTTCATAATCATAGTTACTTACGGTAACTAAGAAAGTAAATCTAAAACACTAAACTTTGCTGTCGTATCTCTTTATTGTAAATAAAATTGGTTGGCCCAGACGTAAAATACATTGGTTACAAATTACTTATTAAATTGTTAGTTTCTTATAACAATTACCTGATATTAGCGAGCAATATTAACATGATTTTGAAAAAGCACTAAATATTTTTTATATATAAAGCGAAATAATACAATCAATGTTTTTCATCTATTGCAGACATAAGTAAGAAATTCCTTAAGTTGATATTTAATAAATTCTTAATTCATATGATTTAATAAATATTCCTCTTATATTCGTTTGAAGTCTTTCAATAATTTATAAATATAAGATAGCAACTTATAAGAGAAACAATGGAAGCAATTGAATGTATTAGGAATTAAATTATGTTCATAGCTCAGTATGTTACATTTTTCATTAAACAACTTCACAAAAGTTATATTGGCAATATTGTATTCATTATTATAATGACATTGTCATTAAAATAATTTATTTATGTATTTAACCTTATTGAGGAGATGAGACAAGTTGCATAATACATTGCATCAGTATAGAACAAGTGAAATGCTCTTAGTCTCTAGGACTCAAAGATCTCTTGAAAGTGAATTATATAACTTGCTGTACACTTTTAGTAAGTTCAATTATATAATAATCGAAAAACAAGTATGGAAACAAATTTTAATACGATTATCTTGATTATTAGAGGTACAGCTTTCATGTTATTTTATAAACAATTGTTCCTGAATTCTAATTACTTCGAACCAATTTATTATACAATTTAATATACAGTTGTAACGTTAATATTTCAACGACTAGAATTTAAATAATGATTTACCAATAAAATAATGTATTAAATTATATACGTGGATTAAACAAACGTTTACTAAACGATGTATTCTTATTTTATACTTATAATAATATTGATTGCCGACAAATATGAAAGAATTCCAATGTTTTTGATAAAATTACCTTTTGTTTTGAATTACATTTCGTATAATTCTTTTTAATTTATTGAAATTAGCGCGTGTATTTAATTGAAAATAATATATTGATCTTACATTGAATTAGTTGAAAAGAAGAAAAAAATGAAATACATATACTTTATAGCATACGTTGGAAACTATAGTGAATGTAGTAAATAAAGTATTTCGATAAACTTTTGAATTTATTAAAAAACAAGATATTCAATTCAACACCGACGTTTCTCAATTCTCTTAACAATATCAATTTTATTATTAAATTTATAATTAAGGATTCAAGTTTTATAATATTAATTCATATTCTCAATGTATTATTATATACGTAATAATGATTTATATTTTCTTTATAAGATAAAATGTAATTACGCTTGTAATTGCAAGTGTTTTTATTATAAAGAAGTTCATATAAAAATGTATAAAATATTAATCAGATAAATTTTCATATAATATTTAATAAGTTATTGAATTGATTGTGATAAAAGTAATATTTATTTTTATAAAAACAAATGTTATCTGAGAGAAGGCTCGATTATATTATAACACCAGAGTAATAAGAGAAAGGAAAAGAAGAAATTAATAAAACATCCTTCGACAGTTAAGAAAACAATTAGTTATTCAAGTAGATTTCATTTTTTATTTCTGTCTTTTGTTCACCGATAAATTTTCTTTTCTTTTTTTTTTTTTTGTTTGTATTCATATAGGAAAACATCAACTACTGAAATAATTCACGTTTGCATATTAGAACATCTATTTAGATATCTTTTCAAAAAGATGAGAAGTTAAATAAGTTTTCAATAAAATTCTTAAACAAAACACTTCGCTTAACTGAAGAAAACAGAAGCAATAAAAAGTATACCAACAGATGTAATATTTACTTATTTAGTCATATATGTAAGCGTGCATAAGCACCAAAGATTTTATTACAAAGAAAGTTACCAATCAACTATGCATCCAATACTGATGTGAAACTTATTTCATTCGGGACTTTCGATAGTCCACATACCGAAGAATTTCCGGGACCACTTTACCAACTCATACTTTCCACGTTCTTTTCGGCTCATTCAAATTGGATTAAAAAGTAAAATATTTCCTCATTGAAATTACGCATGAATTCACTATAAATAAGTTAATTAATTTTACTCTCTCCCAAGCGAGTATTTTACATATATTAAATGCTGATGTTTATACTTATTGAAAATATTAAATGTAAACAATTTTATTACTAGACTTATTAAAATCTGGAGAACTCAACTTTCTTACTTTAAAATTAAAAGTAAAATTATATTCTTAAAGAAATTTTATTTTGAAAATAATAAATAAATATATGAATTGGTTAATTTTATTTTTCATCATTTTAGAATATTAAATATAATCTGTGCTTAAATAGCGAATTGTTCAAATTAAACATAAGCCTACAATTAATTAAATCCAAATAAACATAATAAATATGTAAAATGAATAATTATTTATTTTAAGTATTATGTACTGAGAATTAGACAATAAATTATACAATTTTTATACAATAAATAAATAGCACAGTTCTAAAATTATTTCCCGAAATACTTGGTCTTCATTTAAATCAATATATTACGTCAAAATAATAAATACTAAAATAATAATCATTTCTTTTTTTTAATTTATTTCATATTAATTACATTCCATTGAATTAACAATTTATTAATGTTAATAAACATTGTTTCCTACATCAGCTTTATCTTGTGTTACCTATTATTATTCGATGTTAATTCCTGGCAAAATATTATAAAGATCATAAATAACATTCAGGAATACTGAATTATAAATAGAATAATTTTCGATAATATAATAATAACAATTTTACAGACATTTGAATTCAATTTATATACAATATATGTAATAACATATTTATTTATAATACATTTGAAATTCTGACTTTCTACATTAAATTTCAATATCTAGTTAAGCTTTTGATGATGTAAATAATAATTATTTTTATGTAACAAATTAATCCATTAAAGATATATTAAATAAATACTGTAAATTTGATCGTATTTATTAAAAATAATAGAAATAAATTATAATTCAAAATTTTTATTTTTACAATAAAATGACCAATTAATGTTAATAAGTGAAATATGAAATTTGTATTTTAATGTATTCATTAATATAAGTAAAGTTTTCATATTTTTGAAAATATTTCACTCTGTATAGGACAATACGTTGGCTAAACAAATTATTATGAAATAAAATATAAATTATAATCGTATAATATAATAGAATAATATTTAACATGAAATGATTATAAAAAGTGTTGTATATGAGTGATCTATGTAAGAATTTCTAATTTATGTGGTCTAAATTGTAACTGAAATGTAATTTTTAAATTTTTTGTTGGACAAGAAAAACAATATATAGAATTATTACAACTGAATAGAATTTTTACGATATATAAAAGTATTGCTGATATTAAAAATAACGAGTAAAATATTTAAGAATATTTCTATTATAAAAGTAAAATAAGCATTGCGATTTCTTACTTGTTTTTTTATTTTGTTTTTTAGTCTTTTTATCATCATTATCATAATATTAATTCATTAAGTTTAGTCATCCATTATAAGAAGTAATAATTAATTTATACTCTTCTTCCATCTCAACTGATTGACGTTTTTAAATTATAGTATTTACTAAGAACAATTAGAAATAATTAACCTCTATTTTTTTTTTTTTTAATAATGACTCTTTGTCTAGAATTTATAAGAATATATTACATTAAAGTGCGTAAAAAAGTATTTGAATTTATCTTACAATTTTATTTATATATTAATAAATATATATAAACTATTTTCCAAAATACCTAGTTTATTATGAAATCAAATTTGTGTAATCGCTTTAAAAAAAAAAAATATCCGTAACCATTTGACAAAGTTTATCAAAATAAATACGAAAAGATTGACGTAATTTAAATTTAAATATACGAATGAGATTATTAAAATTTATTTATGATGTATTTATATTTAATAGGAATTAAACTCCGTTAGCTCATGCAAATCGATGAGTATAATTAACTAAAATAGAATTAATTTCTATATATAGTTGCAGAAAATAATTTCATTATATCATAACTGTACTCACAATCATAATATTAATCTTTCCATTAGTCTAGAATTAAATAAGTGTCTTTATTGATAATAAGTGTAATTATAAAATAGAACATGTATTATAGAATATACAAATTTTTTATAAAGTAATAAAAATTTGAAATGATAAGTTTGTAGTCTTCGATTTTTCGTTTAAAGAAAATGCATAGCACAGGAAACTAAAAATTATTTTATTTATTGATAAGATTTTTATAAAAATAAAACAGTGAATTGTTAAAAATAAAATTAGTACTAGTCAAATAAGCATATATAATTATATTAATATGTTATTGACACTTCATTTACATAATAGACAGTTCATTCATTTTATTTGAAAATTGGAGATGAATATATTAATCATTCGCATGAAGTTCTAGAAGTCATAAATTTGAGCAAAATGTAATAATAAGGAATAATAATGTGCATTAAATGATGAAACATGAACAAATATTATTTCTATAAAGAGTTTGTTCTTTTTATAGAAAGATGTATATATATATATATATATATGATAATATATTCAATATTCTCGCGTGAAAAATATGATTTTAATTATTTATTATTATGAATAAATTATTTATATCATTAATTACATTTTACGTATTAGTAAAACTTTTTAAACGTATCAATGTTTTAAACTGAAAAATTTTAAAGTATAATTGACTTTGGATTCGCAAACTCATAAATTTGTATTTGAGTAAATTAAGTAATGCGTCTTTTCGTTGGTATGCAATTATAATTGAACTTAAATTTTATGAAATTTCGACTTATCGCGCCTAATGTTTGCCCATTAGAATCTCGTAAGTTGAAAATCTATAATTATAAATTACATCCAAATGAGAATTGACGATTTTTGTCCAAACAACTTTTCAAAACTTCTTCTCTACGTCCAATTCATCTAGAATTCTCCTCGGTCAAATGAATGTGAATTGACTTTTTTTTTCATCTTTTTTTTTTTTGTTTTTTTTGGTTTTTAAACAAATTACAGGCACTTGCGATGCCAACCAATCGACGGTTTCGCAATCTTGCGATGAGGTAAAATACAAACGATTTATTTCGGTCTTGTTGCAAGACTTTCGAGTCGGCACGCGCGCGCACTGACAGGGAAATTATTGTAAGCACGTTTACCTACAGCCAAGTCGCAAACAAGGAGAGAGAACATACACGTAGGAACTCCGCTCTAGCAATAGACCAGAATTATTAGCATTCTCGGCATCGAACTCACTCAACGGCGTCTGCAAATTTTAGCTCTTAGATCTACATATTCGTCTTCCGCTACCCAATTATTTAACACGTTCTTTAATATTTTTTAGCATTTTTTGTTATTCCTTGGCGCACGATTCTTACTCAATGAAAATTCTTTTCTGTAATTATCGACGACAATTAATTCCATTTCTTCAATTTTCTCTTTCGTACTTTATTAGCATCTTTTCATTTATATAATAATAAATAGTATTGTAAATAATGCGAGCATTTTTAGTACTTAATTTGCAAGAAACGCTGCACAGCATTGATCTTCATTATTATATTAATTTTCATCTCCTGAGTAATCAAATATTCCTATGTACAATTATATAATATATACGTATAAATTACTTACTTGCAGATTATTGAAACCACAGGATATTAATTTACCATTATCGACCATGCTACAAATAAATAATAAATCTGACGAAGAATGGGTTAAAAGCATAACTAAAATATAAAATATTTAAACGAGCATTTTATAAATTTATATGAATAGCGAATGAAAGGAGGAGTGTTGTGCATATTTTATGTGAGACGACCGAAGGTATTTGTGCATAATCGAAATAATTTATAAAGTATTTATTAATTATGAATGATGAAGTCTGGGCGATACGGTGCGATGTCTAATTTTAATAAATAATTATCCTGAATATTTTACACGATGATCAATGTAATGATATATTAGTTGACATATGCGTATATCCCACGCGCGCGCGCGCGCACACACACACAGAAAGAGAGAGAGAGAGAGAGGGAGAGAGAGAGAGAGTGAGTGAGTGAGTTAGTATACATCGAACGTCTAGTTTTTCTACACAGAAGCGCTCTAATTTTAAGAACTTTGTACTAAGTAAATTTTGAAAGACGTGCATTCATTCGCATGTGCTCGTTTATCATTGGCTCATTCGTATGGACACGAGGTTATGGATAAAAATTTTTTTTGCCCAGGCATGAACGTGCCTCGCCAACAGTCCCTGCCAAGTGGACTCTCGGCGACGTCACAACTACGTAGTGGCCGATCTTACAGGCCCACGGCCCACGAGGGTCTGAGCAGCCTCGCCGGAGTTTGGTCGGAACTCGTGTTGCGCGACATCTCGGACCCCGTGAGGCCCAGGAGGAACGACGAGGAGTGTTGCGGACCGGTACCGCGGCATCCTGAATGCATGCCCCACGTGGACGGACGCGGACGCTGCTTGGGTTATTGGCGCGCTGTGCCGACCCTCAGCGCCCACGGTTGTCAACCGGAGGCCCGAGAAATAATGAACGGGGCCTCGGGCTACCTCGACGGCTCGGACTTGTACGGTGCTAATGACGATAGGCTCCACAAGCTGCGAATATACCAGGGAGGCAAGGTCGACTTGACCCAGTGCGAATTTTGTGGCAAGATCGACTCGAGTATTGGCCAATTGTACCGAGCGATATTGTCCGAGCATAATCGGATTGCCGAGAAATTGGCCGTTATCAACGAGCATTGGGATGATACGAGGCTTTACTTGGAGGCTCGCAGAGCTGTCGTTGCACAGGTACGTTATTGGCACTTTCATCAAAATCTTAGAATTTCTATATAATCACGTGGCGCTCGTCGCATTAAATTACTTTTTATTATCAGTCGACTAATTCCTAATGATTGGTGTACCCTTGGATAATCAGACACGATGTAACTCACTCGATATATTATTGCGTATTTTCATGTCTAAAAATGAATATTTTAACTGACGTTGAATTAATCTTTAATTAATTTTTTTTTTTTTTTTTTTTTTTTTTTTAGAAAAAATTATGATACATTATACAATTGTCATCATGAGTATTACATTCTAATCAAATGTTGGATAATCTTTCAATTCGTAAACTTTAATTTTCATCAGTCTTTGGAAAATTGAATGTATAATTTTAAGCAACAACTGTAATTTACTCCATCATTATAAATTATCGGATGTAATAACTTAATTTATAATAAATATTCATCATTAATATTTTGGAATATATATATCGTGTAAGCGACTATTTTATTAAGATGTTTTTACTCAAATATAGCTAATTATTATCGAGTAATATTTATTAATAAATAGAATGCCTAAGATTGCTAAATTTTATAATTCAAATCAATATAAATCTTATTAACCTACATTATTATTAGTCGAATGATCAGATGAAATGACTAATAATTAATAAAATTTGAAAACATTGACATATACCTCATTGGAAACATCATATATATAAACTATTTGCAAGAAAAAATGAAAAAAATTGAAAATAATACTTGTTTTACTTTTAATAAAACTTCTCTCTATAACAAAGTGACAATTTGGGTTAAATGCTATTCGCTTTAATCAAAGATAGACGATTAAAAATATAAAAAATTTCTCTAATAAATTATTGAACTCTATGTACCGTAAACTACAGTAATTGGAAATGCAAAATTTTCTTCCTACATGTAAAATTGTTTTCTATGACAGAATTGGTACAAATAAGTAGAAATTTGTCAACACCATTTATTGCCTCAACGCTATCATAAAACAATATTTTAAAAAGTTGGTCATTTAACGAATACTCTTACAAATAAATGCTTCTTTTTTTTTTTTTTTTTTTTTTTTTTTTTTTTTTTGTTTTTTTTTTTTTGTTTTTATGCAGATACAACACGTGACGCTGAACGAATTTGTGCCAAGTGTGTTGGGGGAGGCTGGTCACGCAGACAAGGAACTTATGCCAACCCGTAGTGGCTTTTATGGGGGATACTCGTCAACGAATCGCGGTGGTGCCATAGACGCTGTTGCTCTCGCTGCATTGCAAGCTCTTACCTCGCTCAAGCGTCACGAAAGTTCAAATCTCGAGCAGCAGCTCGTACTGGCCGCCAATAAAGTCAACCTTAATGTGCTCGAGCATGAGACTTCATCACAGGGTTGGGAGCCAAGTGCTCTGTTGGTGCACATTGCCCGAGATCACGGGATGCCCAGTTACATAAACTTTGTACATTTTTGCTCATCTGGGCAAGTCAAGGTACATTGAGTCATTCCATTTATATATTGAGTTTAATCATGCATAATGTCTCCGTTCGCTCGGCTAAGTACAGTCGTTACAAATATCAAATACAAACTATCAAATCGTTTATTACCATCCAATAAGTAAGTTTTTTTTTAGGAGTTTGGCTTTATTCGTTGTTACCTACCGATATAATTATTGACTTGCAGTATGAAGGCTTTTGCTCCATAATTATAAATTATATATTGTTTATGAATGATGGCGTTACACGTATAATCGATCCTTCATTTTTTTTTTTTTTTTTTTTTTTAATAAATTTTAAGCAATGTGGTTAATAATACAGTACTATGTAAAAAATATCATTTAAAAATATCTAATACACATGGATTAGAAAAATGATGTAATTTATACGTATAACTAAAAGTTATCTATTTTCTATATTAGCATATATTATATATAAAAATATTTGATATATTAAATAGTAAAGTATTAAGTAGTTGAAATTATAATTGATAAGAGATAAAATATCCAAAGATACAACTGCGTCTGCAAAGTGTTTCGATATTATACATTCATAAGCATTTTTTAATATGTGTGAAAGAAATAATTTTTTTTTTTTTTTTTTTTTTTTTTGACTTTTCAGCTTCAAAATTTCACCAGCCTGATGAATTTAGTCGAGCCCAAAGACATTATACTTCTTCAACAAATTTATTCCCGAGTGGAAGATGTAGATCTCTTTGTAGGTGGAATTCTTGAAATTCCGACTGATGGAGCAGCGGTTGGGCCTACTTTTGTCTGTCTTTTACGTCAACAACTTATCAAACTTCGAAATTCCGATCGATTTTGGTATGAGAATGATATTCCACCATCGAGCCTAAAATCTGGTCAAATTACCGAGATACGTAAGGTAACATTGTCCGGTATATTATGCGCTAACTCGGGCATTACGAAAATCCAGTCAAAATCCTTTATTCAACAAGATCCTTATCTAAATGTTAAAATTAACTGCAACCAACATGGGCTTTTGGATTTGTCAGCTTGGAGGGAAGAGCCTATTACAGCTACTGTTGTTGATAATCACATGACAGCAGCGGTTACCCTTACCGACTCGGCTACGTCTCTCGCATCTGAAATTAATCAAGACATGATCGTTGCCGCGATTAAAAAGGCTGAAGAGAATCTAGTGTTGAGAAAACAATTGGAGTACAATTCTTGGCTGGAACAAAGAATAGCTGATCCGAAATCACCGGCGGGCACTGCGGCGAGCTTTTCTAAAGCTAATAAAGATGCTTTGTTACTAGCCAATTCGTCGATTTTATATGAGCTTGCGACGAATGAGCTTATTAATGGGGTCCACGGTTTAAGAAGAAAAAAGCGACAAGCTTTTGATGCTGGTGATAATATTTTGGGTTTTCCTAACAACGAATTCAATGATATTCTTCAAAATGTTGACATTTCTGGCTTTATTACACAAAAGCCGCCAACAAATCACGAAGAAATTGATTGCCCTGTCGATGATGCCGCGTGTGACCCAACGACCCCATATCGTACATTTTCTGGCCATTGTAATAATTTGCGAAATCCATCGCTTGCAAAGTCTTTGACAACGTTTGCCAGACTTTTGCCGCCAATATACGAAGACGGAGTTTCGAAACCAAAAATAACATCTGTTACTGGTAAGCATACGCCTGGATTTCTATATTGATCCTCGATTGCACGATTCCTTGCGAATAAAATAATAATTTCATTATAGGAGTGCCTTTGCCAAATCCAAGAGTTATATCGACAATTATTCATCCGGATATTTCTAATCTTCATAATCGCTATACGCTTATGGTGATGCAGTTCGCTCAATTTCTCGATCACGATCTCACCATGACACCCATTCACAAGGGTTTTGCCGAGTCCATTCCTAGTTGTCGGGCTTGTGACTCGGCTCGTACAGTTCATCCCGAGTGCAATCCATTCCCTGTACCACCAAACGATCACTTTTATCCAACGGCCAACATCTCTACGGGAGCAAGACTCTGTATCCCATCGATGAGGTCACTCCCGGGTCAACAGCACCTTGGGCCTCGTGAGCAGGTTAATCAAAATACTGGCTTCCTCGATGCCTCGGTAATCTATGGCGAAAATAATTGTATAGCCAATATTTTGAGAGGCTTTAGTGGTCGCATGAATATAACGAGTCATCCAAATCGCGGTAAAGACCTACTGCCTCAGTCACGTACACATCCAGAGTGCAAGGCTCCATCAGGCTACTGTTTCATCGGAGGCGATGGACGCGCTTCCGAACAGCCAGGTTTAGCCGTAATGCACACTATGTGGGTTAGAGAGCATAACAGAGTAATGGAAGGCTTAAGGCAAGTTAATCTACATTGGGACGCTGAAAAACTCTTCCAGGTATATTTGCAATTATTATTTCATATAATATAAATTAAGCAAATTTTTAATTGTTAAAAATTTGATTATGATTATTATCGTTGTTGTTTATATATATACATATATACATAGATGTACATACATATAAACTAGTGCAATTTCAAAGTAGGATGATGGTCTAAAACAATTTAAAAATATTTTTTGTTAGGAAACTCGTCGGGTCCTCAGTGGTATGTTACAGCATGTTACGTATAACGAGTTCCTTCCACGTATACTCGGATGGAACGCCGTTAGCCTTTATGGGCTAAAACTCTTACCCCAAGGATACTACAAGGAATATTCTCCGACTTGTAATCCAAGCGTTCTCAATGAATTCGCAACGGCTGCTTATCGTATAGGTCACTCGCTTCTACGACCACATCTGCCAAGAATGGACCGTAACTACCAAAACATCGATCCACCAATACTATTACGAGATGGCTTCTTTAATCCCGATATGTTATATCAACCGGAGATGATTGACGAGATGATTCGTGGTTTGGTATCTACACCTATGGAGACGCTCGATCAGTTCATAACCGGCGAGGTCACAAATCACTTGTTTGAGCAGAGAGGAATTCCACACTCGGGCGTGGACCTTATTGCGCTAAATATCCAACGATCGAGAGATCACGGCATACCAGGATACAATAATTATAGAGCATTGTGTAATTTGAAAAGGGCGGCAACTTTTGATGATCTATCTAGAGAAATGGCACCGGAGGTTATTGCAAGATTGAAAAGGGTTTACAGTTCTGTTGATGATATCGATCTATTTCCAGGTCAGCAGCTGAATATTTATCTTAATTTTGGAATAAATAATATGCATAGCGATGACGTGAAGTATTCATAGCATGTATTGTATAATTTATGAATATTGCGAAAGGTTAATAAATTTTTTTGTTTTGAAGTATGAAAATTCAATGTGTAATCCACAGGTGGTATGAGCGAGAGGCCATTGCAGGGCGGATTGGTCGGGCCGACGTTCGCCTGTATAATTGCTATTCAATTTCGTCAATCGCGCAAGTGCGATCGCTTTTGGTACGAGACCGATGATCCAAATATCCGCTTTAGTGAGCATCAGCTTGCCGAAATACGTAAGACAACTCTTGCTAAAGTAATGTGCGAGAATATGGATCATCATACGGATATGCAGAGGGCAGCTTTTGATTTGCCGAGTAACTTCTTAAATCCACGAGTGCCGTGCGGTTCGATGCCTCAGATGAATTTTGAGGCTTGGAGGGAAACACGACATGGTTGTCAGATTGGTGGTAGGAACGTTGCCGTGGGCGAGTCCGGTTTTCCTACGCCTTGTACTAGCTGCGTATGCACGGCTGAGGGAGTGAGTTTTATATGAGAAAATCTTAATTCTTGACACTCGACACTCTTAATCATCGTTAACAATACCGTTATTACTCAATACTACCAAAGTTTTTATGAAATATTTTTCCCATTACATAATGTTAGAATGCTATTTTAAGCATGTAAATTTTATTACATTATTATACACAGTGTCGTACAGTCATCTTAAACCTTTCATTTTTATGCCGTTAATTAATATGATAATATAAAGGAATTTCATCTAAATATTTGAACGTTATTTTAGACACATTGCGCGTCATTAAGAGTAACGGATTGCAATCAACTTCTTCGAGAAGCATCTCGAGAGGCGATTCTACGAGATGACGTATGCACAGCACAATGTGGCTTTATCCTGGCCGCTACGGATAGCTCGTCAAATATACAATTTAAGACATCAAACAACTTCCCCAGCTTTTCTCAACATCGAAGCAGCCTGCGAAGCTCATTTTCGTCATCTTTTAATGGCTTCAAGTTGCCGGATCTTTCGCAGTTTATCGGTTAGATTGTACAAATAAAAAAGTGAAAGCATAAGTGCCAATATAAATTACTACTCAAAGACAGTAATCGGCAATAGTTCGATGGATAAAGGAGAGAAAAATTAAACAATCAAAGACGATGCAAAATATCATGAAATTTAAAGATTTCAGAATACAATGAAAGAACGTAAGTTGCAACGTTTCTGTCACTTTGTGTACTTATTGTACATTAATTGATGAGCAAGAAATTCATTTTGCAGTTAATGTAAATATAGATTGTAAGTTACAAATTGTTAGTATTTAAGTGCATCTATTGCACATTTTTTTTTTTTTTTTTTTTTTTGTATTTTCTTATACGAGCGCAAAAGACAGAATTGAAATAATATCGATATTTCACGTTCTTTTGTGATTCCTTTTTGTAATTATGTAATTAATAATGATTGAATAACATGAGAATTTTAGCTCTGATTAATAGATGGATGAATATGTAAAATGTATACAAATTGAATTTTTAATATAAATTAATGTATAATTATAACGAATTGTTTTTCTCATAAAGTGGCCTTAATAAGATCGTAATAAGAAGATCTTAATAAGAAGAATTAAGGCCTAATAAGATCGTCATCTTATTCATTACGGGTAGAAGCTCATGTGTTGATGTTTATGCGATAATGTCAAATATAAATGTATACATTTTCAGTAGAATTCACTAAATCCGATCAGAATTTCAAAAACAAAAACAAAAACAAAACAAAAAAAAAAACAAAAAAAAACAAATAAAAACAAAAAAGATGCATGATCATTTTAGAAGATCGTCGCTGCCATTAATTTTGGCTTTATACTCACATAAATGCAATATCAATCTTTTACAAGTAGATTTTCCAGCATTGTGTATTTTCGTAAATTTTTTTTTATTCTTTAATGTACAAGCTTTATACATATTTTTTGTATGATACAATTATAATATGATATGTATAACGTTAATAAATGTTAATGTTTATTTTTCATTAACTACTTATCACCTTATAAATAAATAATAATTCCATATTTCACTTTAGAATATAAGAATGAATGAACTGAGATAGAAATATGACAAATGATAAAAAATTTTATTTTTCATGGATTTCGGAATATGTTTATTTACACATAATTTTGTTCTAAAACATCTTATCACAAATTTAAATATTATTTGTAATGTATTTTTAAACAAAATTCCATACCTCGATTTAACCACAATAATGGTTTCGTATTTTTTCATTTAGTTGATTTTGGAATTTTTCAAAAAAAGATTGAATTTATTACTCATCTTTCAATTGGCAGTAACTTCTTGTTTACTATTTACTGTAGTTGAATTTTCTTGAATTGTTGGTGGTTGCTCAACGAATCGCCAAAGTCCATAAGTCTTGCCAACGGTTGTTTGCCATAATCTCAATGTGCCATCTTCTGAACAACTGGCATAAAGTTCACCATCCGGTGAAAAACATACACAATGTATAGGACCAAAATGTCCTTTCAAAGATTCTATGAAAATATATCACAAATTTAATTGAAAGAACGAAAGAAATACATCAAATAATTATTAAAGTCTTATTTACATTAGTAGAGTGCAGATTTAAGAAAATTATAAGCATTCATTTTTAAATTAAGTTACAAACATTCAATTTTATCATTATCAATTATTTCGTTGCAATTAAAATATTAAATATATTTGGTTTCATCATTTTTATACAGGAAAACTTAATTAATAAATTTTCACATTATTATATTACTTAATTTAAAAAAAATCATTAATGCGAAATTATGATTTAGTTGGGAATTAAAATTTTTATAATAGGCAAATTATTAAATTATCTCATTATGACTATTAAAATGTTAACTTAAATTTACAATATTAGAGCTTTTTATATACATAATCATAATTATATATAGTATCATACCGATACACTACAATATAAATTAATAACATTATAAAGAAAAACATCTTTTTACATTCAAGATATTATTTACATGTAACGGAAATTATTTTATCTTTAATATTTCCTTATGTAAATGTAAAACAGATACTAAATATTTTTAAATTTATTCAGGCTTACATTAAAAAATAATTGTAAAACTACTGTCAGTTTGAGTATTGCATATTCTCAAAGTAATATACAACAAAATCAATAATGATTATCTGATTAATATCAAATTGACATTCTATAAAATTTACTTTTTGAGGAATTTCTCAGACAATACCTTACGATTGATAAAATATTTATAACTATTATTGAAAAATTTAAAACGCCTGTACTTAAGCAAAGCAGACTTACCTATCTCGACACCTGTACTACAATCAAACTTGTACATTTTTAAGTCTTCTCCTCCACATATGAAGACACTATTGTCAGGATGCAAGCTTGCACTATTAACTTGCGTCGGTACAGTAAATTCGCGCAGCTTAGTCAGTCTGTAACAATAGAAAGATAGTAAATGAAAGTAAATAAATAAAGGTAAATTAAGAAACGAAAAATCTATCTCAATGGATTATATGAAATTACAATAACACTAATAATAATACTAATAATATAGGTTCGAAGATTTATAAAGAAAAATTATTTTATATACTTTGTTTTTCATCAAACATTATTTAATATTGTATTTCCAAGCACCGAAATACCAGTATAATAATGAAAAAAGAAATTGATGTATAAATTAAGAAACATACTTTGTAAATCTTCTTTTCTAACGAACATATGTAGTTTAAATAATTAAATAGCTATAAAAATTTATGAAAATTTCTTTAATATAGAAATATTTAGATAAATAATAAAGAATAATTGAGATAATACATAGTAATATTTAAAAATTTTGAAATGAAAAATAGATAAATCATTAATTTAAAAAAATTACGATCACGATTACATTTATATTTTTATATTCTTTTGTTAGCTACAAATTTTCTAAATTAAACTTACTTAAAAAAACTACTAAACCCTTTTACTTTAAATTTCTTATCGAGTGTCTTCGAATTTGGTAAAGTAACTTAAATCTTCAATTACTTATGATTTACTAAAAATATTATTTCATTGTATTAATTTTTAATTTATTATGAACAACGTACTCTTTACTATCCCAGAAAGTAACGATATTAGAATGAGTTGTTGTGATAATACTGCCATCTTTGGAGACCTCCATGGAACGAGGAACAGACTGAAAGTCCAAATTTCTAATCTCTTTGCCATTATGTCTATCCCAGACTCTCATAGTTTTGTCTTCAGCACAGGATACTAGCAGTGTATCATTCTCGTAAAATGAAACATGTCTTAATCCCGAAGTATGACCAGAAAAAATCTATAGAAAGAACTGAATTATTACTTATACTTCGTTTAAGGATTGCTATTTTATTACATACATTTGACAGTTTTCATACAATAACATTTAACAATAACGTTTAATTAAAATTCATCTTAAATATATTTAATTTTTTATGAAATAATTGATTTGAAACGAAGAACTTGAAAATATTTTATTCGTTAGGTTTAAGTAGGAAACTTTTTGAATTTTTGATAAATATTTTATGTGAAGTAGTCAAATGATGTTTCGATTTTTGTCATACAGAACATTATACTGAAATATTTGTATTTATAATTTCTTACTTGTGGTTCAGCTTCAGGTTTATTAAGATCAAAGACTCTAACAATCTTTTCTTTTGAAGCCGTAGCAAGATAGACGGAATCTTTACTAAAATCAACGGACTTTACAATGTGCTCGTGCTGAAAAGAGTGGATTTCTTCACCCTTGATCGCATCCCAAACTTTAGCATTAAAATCAGCAGCACCGCTTGCTGCTTTGGTAGCATCTACATTTAGCGCAACACCCCAAACTGCTCCCTTGTGCCCCTTAAATGTACCAATCCAATCTCCCGTATCACCTTGACGTAACATTGGTTGTCCATCTTACAAAAAGATTTTTACTTGTACGTTTTAAATATAAATAATCTATAATTAACATTTGTTGACATATAGGATGCTTAGAAATAATAATTGACATAAATTAAAACATTATTACACTATATCAATACACTATATCGATTGGGAATTAAAATTACACTTTAATACAGTCGATAAAAAGCTAATGTAACTTTATTAGGCAAATGTTATTAACATAAAAAATAAAAGTACAGTTTATTTCATTATCACTGGCAAAAAAAAAAAAATTTTTACCGCATTAAACGAATTAGGTATAATAATATATGAAGAAATGAAACTTTTATAATTTAAATGGTTTCTAATAGCCAATTAATATGGGGAAATTACAATTTTCCTAACCTTAAAATTAGTATTATTAATGTAGACATAAACGGATAAAAAATTAAAAATTGACAGAGCTCTAAAAAATGGTAGGAAATATTAAATGCGTTACCTTTGCAGGCCGAAATTAAGTAATAACTAGAATCAGTGATGTCGGAAAATTCAAGATGTACAACGGGTCGCTGATGACCACTACACGTTAACGGAGTTTGCTTTAAATTCGCCATTTTCTTCAACGCCTAATGCACTTCACATTCGGAAACTCATCGAGCCGACAAAATCTGATGCACTGCCTAGATAAAATAATAAAAGCAGCTTAAAACAATGACAACTATAAAGCTAAAATAATGCGACTCTTTTGTATAAAATAACACTTTAATAAGATATCGAACATTAAGTGTGACCTCAATGCACCTACGCTACTGCCCAGCACTGCCCTCCTCGTCGTCTGCAAACGTTTCTCGCCGAAGGCAAACGGCCTTTTGCCGTATTAAATTTATACAATATCGCACAAATTATTTACAAACTTTACGCGCTTTGGTTTGAGTAATTGTTCGGATTGAGATACTAGAGCGGAAATCAGCCGACTTCATCATTCATACGGCTTATCTATAACTGTAGAGCAGCGAGTTATTCGACGATTAACATAGAGAAAGTCGGCGATTGCTCCCTAACTCAACTAATCGCTTGAGATAACGAGTTGAAAATTTGGCAAAGAAATGCGATGAAAGATTTCAAATAGCCAGGCGAAAGTCTTATAACTCGCTTGGCATGTACATACGTACGTATACGTTCGAGGGCGGCTTTTGTTTTTTTAAAAATATTATTATTTCAATACCATTGGGCCTACTATTATTATATTACGTCCATGACAATTAATGGGTAAAGAAGATTTATGAAAAAGTTGAAAATTTGGAATGCTCACTAGGCATAACGAATAAAACTAATAATGTTCAAGCTTATTTATTATCCAACAATGCTCCTTTCTTCATTCAAATTCATCATTTCAATAATTCATAATATTATCCCCTACGCGCAACTCTTATTCACTATTTCGGCATATATTTAATATTTCAGGCTAAAAATTTATTATTTATTACAATTTATTTGTCCGGCGAATCAATCAATTCGGCTGGGAGAGCGAGCCATGAGGCGATGATGTGTATGTACATTTTACCCACACGAGACAGGATATCATCATCGTATTTAAACTTTTGAATTTGTTAATTATTTCATTTTTCCTATTCAAGAGTTTCGATAATGAATATATAAATTACACGAAATACCATAATTAAAATTTTATTGATATAGCATAATTCACAACAATAGAATCATGCATTATAAAAAAATTTTAATATTTGATAAATTTTTACGATAAAATTCCATCAAATTGTAATATTTCAACGGATCTATGGATATATGGAAATATATGCAATAATTTATAAAGAATATTTAACAATTTGACAATGTTTCTACATTATATAAATTTTACAAACTAATAATATAAATTGACCGTATTAATATAATATATACATATATATATATATTTTTTTTTTCTTTTTTTAATTTCTATATTAAAATGTATTTCCTCTGCCATAATAATTGAGAATAAATAAACGAGTGGTCTAAAATTTCCTTGAAATTCTCGTAAGAAACAGTGAAATCAAGTCGGTAATGCTGAATTGAACAGTTACGGCAGTTATGATTTCATATGCATGTGTATGGTGGGGTTTTTATGTGTGTCCGTGCGTTTACGCGCGGCGTATTTCCGTGAATTTATGAGCGCGCGTGTGTGTTTTGCATATCAACCGAGAAATAACGTTCTCTAATTGTCAGCCTTAATTACATATAAAGTTTCATATTTGAGATTAGATTTAAGGAATGGTATTTTTTGTTTTTGTTTGTACACATTGATATTAAGTATTAATAACTGATAATTATTCGGAGATATTCATTCTCTTTCGGAGAAAATAATCTATTTTTAGAAGAATTTTTATATACGATAGAAAATATATTATTTAACATTGTAACAGTATCAGCCGAAATAGCTCAGCTGGGAGAGCGTTAGACTGAAGATCTAAATGTCCCCGGTTCGATCCCGGGTTTCGGCAATTACTTTTTTGCAATTTTTTTTTTTTTTTTACAAAAATTGTATGAACAACAAACAGTAGACGAGAAAATGTGGAAGCATCCGAAATTACCTAAAAAGTATAGTAATTCCAATATAACCGAATTCTTATACAAACATTAGAATTGTAAGTATTTTTATATATTTACTTCTATTTTATCTATTTTTCGACATAATTTTAATATTTTACAAGCACAAGAAACACACAAGCACACCTTTGTGTGAACATTTCAATACTTATTTTAAAATTTAGGTTTCGTTTAAGTATTTTATACAAACAGGTGATCTATATACACTGGATTAATTGTTATAAAATATTTAAGAAATATACTAAACCGATGAGTGAAGTTTTATCTTTTGACCGATACGTACCTAATGATTTTAATATTTAATAACTTAATATTTAATAGTTAATAACTTCATATTTTCGTACATTGTAAAGATAATAAAGTATCTGTTTAACATAAACTTATTCGTCTTATTTCGAATATGTGCCATTGATTTAAGAATAACAATATTATATTAAGAAACAATTTTAAAATCTCGTCATTTCATTATAATGTATGTAATATAAGTGTGTAAATATATATTATTTAATTATTATTATTATTAAATATATATTTTTTTAATTGATTTTTTCATTACGCAATGATTTTTAAATTGAAAATTGAAAATACTTTTTTTTGTTCCATGTTTTACTGATTATTATCTTTTTAAAAAACAAGACAAAAGAAGATTAAAATTAAATCTAATTATGTATATTAATTATTTTTTTTATTTTTTATACAGCGAAAAAGTAATTTTAAATTGACAATTTAAAAAAAAAAAAAAAAAAAAAAAAAATCCCTACAAATGGTGGCAATACGATTATGTAATAATGAAAATAATATCTTTCTCTAGATATGCGAGCAAACGATTTAAATTTAGCTTATTATTTGTTATTTGGGAAAATGTTAGAGAAAGCTTCGAATTGAATGTTAAAAGGTCAAAATGAGAAATACATCATGAGTGTTACGAGAGCAATTTAATATAAAATTTCTAAGATTTAATGTACGACACAACAGAATTCATTAAGTTTCTTAAGCGCATATTAGATAATTGAAAAAGTACGTGAAACTAGATATTTGAAATCAATACTTAATATCGCATCACTTAATTAAAAAAATATTTCAATTTACATTGGCACTAAAGTCGATATTTCGTAATTTATACTTAATGACAGATGCAACAGTAATAGTGTGTATTTATGTTGAAATTCAAACAATCAGGTTCAATGCTTTTCAAGACAATAAAATTTCTATTATTAAGACATTAACTGTCTGTCTTCATAATCCGTAGTTTTCATTTTCAATCAAAAAAATATATTGATTGTAATGAATTGATTGTAAGGATCTTATAATAGACACTTCTTACGACATACGGAATTCACGTGCCTCGTACAGAAGTTTCTGAATATTTACGAATATTACTAAATAAATTAAATATTTTATTGAGAAAGCAAGATATTTATATAGCGATGAAATTCTTGTACTCGTCGTTGTTTTCGGGGGAAATAAAAACAAAAAAAAAAAAAAACAAAAAAAAAATCAAACGAATGCAAATATGAGAATGCGCAAACTCGTGAATTTAATATGAATTCGATAATTTATTATTTTATCTATTTTAGAATTAATATAAATTAGTTTTGAACGTGACAGATAAAATAACTAAATTGTTATAATAATTTGAATGCAACATATCTCTTATCCTAAATAAGTTAGATCTACATTTATCTATTAGCATTTGTAACAAGTGAAATTTTACATAATATTAAAATTATAATAAATTTAATAGCGTATCATTATAAAATTATTTATTAATATCACGAATGATTGATAATTCTATAAGAGTTGAAAAAATTAGTTATGTACAAGCTAAATGTGGAAATGATGAAAAGTGGAAATAGCAATATTGAATGTGAGATGAAAGATTTCGTCTAGCGTCAGTCTATTGGCATTATAGAAAAAACTTTTATATATAGGACTTCGCCTTAGATGATGGAATCTCACTCACTCACTCACTTTTATACATTCGATTTGCTCAACATTTATGTCCGATTATTCTCCTACTTTCGTTCTACCATTCCCTTAGCCGCATCTTTCACTTGCATATATCAATTAAAATAGCATTATAAATAATTTTTCTTATTTATTATTAATGGCTGCAATAGTTGCTAATTATCCTCGTTAATTATTGATAGAATTTGCAGATGTAAATGATTTATGAAATTGAATTACATATAAATAGATGTAGAGATAAAATAAGCCCCGACGTATTAGATAATTGCATTATTTAAAAGTACTTTATTACAATTAATATATTAATATTCTGAAAATATGTATTCATCTATATATTGATTTTAATATTTAGTAAAAACCATTCGTTATAATATTTATTTTCTTATGTATAATATACACATCTACGTACATAATGATATAAAATATATAAAGAATGAATGAATCATTCGCATGTATTCAGACGCACGTACAAAGTTTTTTCTGTGTTTGTTGAAAATGTAAATTATTTCTATAATGCATGAATACGTGAATACTCAAATGAATTTTACAGAATTTCATATAAAGTTCGACTCTGATTTTATTTTGTCGAATAATTTGGAAAAGTAAAGAAAATTTTTTATTAGATGATAGTTAATACGTTCTCACATTATTATTATCTATCAAGTTATTAACCAATTTTTCTTTTACCTTAAAATTTGTTATAAATATGCTAGTTTTATTTTAGAGTTATTTGATATTTCTAATTTTGTTTGATTGTAGAAATAAAAAATATGTACTAATTAATATCTCGTTATTAAAAATTTTTTTTAAATATATATATAATGTAAGTAGTTGTATAAGATTACTAGATTATTATTTTAAATTCTAAATGCATTTAAATACTATATTAAGTAAAATGACCATTATTTAATTTTACTATTAAACATCATATTAAATAAAATGAAATCTAATCTTTTATAAAATCTTTAAATTCTAAGAAACTATTTAAATAATTTATTTAAACAGTGTTGTTCATAGTGTGTACATTTTTTAGTTGATATTTGATTAAACAGTGAATTATTTAATAAAATTGACTACATTTATAACATGTTCATCATCTATAATATTAAATCATATTTTATAAGAGAAGGCATCAAAAACCCTTAATACTCGGAAAATGTTTATAGTTTATATTTTATATCGAAATTAAAGAAATATATGTAGTATGAAAAAAATTGATTTATTCATGATCGTAGTTTTTGAAAATTTGAAACTATGAAAATTACATGTATTTTGTTAAAAGTTTG